GATCGTGGTATTATGGTACTAAGACTTCCCCCTTATCACTGCGAATTCAATCCTATTGAACTAATTTGGGCGCAAGTGAAAGGGTTTTTAGCTCGAGAAAATAAAACTTTTAAAATAGCCGACGTTCAAAGTTTATTAAAAACCAGTATAGAACGTATAAAACCTGAAGATTGGCAGAATGCTATTTCCCATGTAATTAGGGAAGAAAATAATATGTGGCGCTTGGACGGTATGATCGAAACGGTAGTTGAACCTTTAGTCATAACTTTAAGTTTCGACGATAAAGACGATTCAAATGATAGTTCTGCAGAATCAATGGATTACGAAACTTCATAGATTTAGAATTCAAGTAAGTGATACCAAGCTTAATATACCTATTTTTATAATAAACAAAATACAATTATAAACAGATGAATTATTATAACAAAAATAGATAACCAACCTACTTTCATCTAGTAATATTCACAAATACCCATTTAATCGGCCAATATAGTATTTCTGCGACACTGGAAGAGTGCATTTTGATATGATAACGATACCTTTTGCAGTTTTAAGGCGCATCTTTTTCAATATTTTGTTCTAGTATAATACCCCATTTAATTTTCCAATAGTGTTTCTACGCCACTGGCATAATATTTACATATTTTAACAATAAACAAAACAAAATTATAAACATAAATGACTATTACTACAAAAATAGATAACCAACCTACTTTCATCTAATATTATTTACTGTTACCGCATTTAATTTGCTAATAGTTTTTATACGTCTGGCGTAGTACATTTTGGCAATAAACATGCATTTATGACTAGTTCGCACGTGATACCGATAACTTCTACAGTTTTAAGCGCGTGATTCCATTCATTATGCTCTGGTATAGTATGATTGTTGTATGTGAACAGGGAGGAATCACCTTCTCCAATATTTTGTCCGAGTATACACATACATGGATATTAGCTTATCTACGCACAGACTACAATACGAAAAAGTATGCTATTGCGTTCAACTGAACGAATATATTTCATATCTATTCTAGGTAGGTAGTGAGAACTCTGCAAAAAAAATTAAATCCATCAATCATAGTTTATATTTTGAGTACCCAACTTCCAACTACCTACTATTATTTTTAAATTTTATATAAGTGAAAATTCTGTCAAACTATTTGTCAGTATATTTTTTAGTTATTGAGATTAAATATACGTAGTTATTCTTTTATAGAATCTATAAATAATAGCATTTTTATTTTTATTTTGAGGTCAAAGCATTTGCCTTTCATGCAAAAGGCCTGGGTTCAAATCTAGGATGGGAACAAATTAAATTAATTTATTTTTTCTTGTTTATTTTATAAATTAGTATAAAAGTCTTAAATTATTTCTAAATTAGTTATTTTATCTTAATAAACTAAAACAATTTTTAGTAATTGTGGATTTTCGTTAGAGGGTCGTTTTAAAAAAATATACTGTAAAACTCGAGTGGATTGTCCATATCCACTCTTGTTGCACAAACTACTATTGTTTAATAGAAAAATCTGATATTTGGGATAACGAAAGGATAATATTTTAAAAATCATGTGCAAAATTGTGATTTATAGAACTGAAATTTTCAAAAAATGTGAGCCAAAATCCTATTATGTTTACCTGGTGAAAATGAGACCAGGGGCACGCTAATATTTCTTTTGTTTATGAAGCAATTTGGATTAAATATAGGATAAACCTCAGATGGACAAACCTACCAGACATAATTTAGAATTGACACTTATAATTAAACAAAATGGCTGACTTCCGATTTTTCTGAAAATGCCCATAAAATTGATTTTTTAAATTTACCAGTCTATATATTTTGCTTTTTGGAATCTACGGTTTAAAATACTTATGACAGTGTTATGACAAAGTTGTTACATTTTAATTTTTTTAGGTAGGTCTCTGGACAAAAATATTCTAATAGCCTCGCATAATTCGAAACAAAAGTTATTTTACCAATTGGTTTAAAAATAAATCCATCAGATAAGAAATACATTTCAAAATCTCACTTTTTTAAATGGCATTTATTGAGGCCCATTTGGCCAATAGATGCCAAATTTTATTAAAAATCTGATAAAAAATTATTTATAAAAATGAAAATTTGGCTACACTCTCATATGTAATTTAAACCGTAAATTTAAAGAATAAAACTTAATAGTAATTTCGTTAAAATAGAAATTCAGCCATTTTATTTAAGAACAAGTGTAAAACGGGTTGAAAAACTGATTAAAACGGGTTGAAAAACTGATTAAAACTACAAAAAATAATTACTTTAAAGAAATGGTAAATGAAAAACATCAAAATAAAACAATATGGGAAACTGCTAATAAAATTCTCAATAAAAATAAGGAAAAATTAGATATAACGGAAATTATTACAAATGATAATAAAACAATAATAAATAATTCTCTTCAATAGGAGAAGAAATGGCACGTAAAATAAATAAACCTAATACTCTTACTATAAAACGAAATATAACTGAACATAACATATTTTTCCACCCTACTGACTCAAATGAAATAGAAGCCATTATAAACGAACTTAAAATGAAAAAATCACCAGGCGATGACAATATCACTGCTAAAAATCTTAAATTAATAGTAAACTACATTAAGCATCCACTTTGCTACATTGTAAATAAAATGTTTGAAAAAGGCGATTTCCCGGATATATTAAAAATCGGAATTGTAAAACCGTTGTTAAAAAAACGCGATCCAAAGTATTCAGAAAATTACAGACCCATATCTCTTGTCGCAAATATTACGAACGTTGTTGAAAAAAGAATAGTAAAGTACTTAGAAAAACACATGTTGCTATCGGAGAAGCAGTTCAGTTTTAGACAAGGGATATCGACAGATGATGCAATAGTGTATCTGACTAATAACGTTTACAAAGCTATTGTCGATAATAAAGCTACAATATGTATATTTTTCGACCTAGCAAAGGCCTTTCACACAGTGATCCATAATAAGTTGCTAGGTGTGCTCGAGGACCTTGGTATTAGAGGGGTTGCATTAGATCTAATAAAAAATTACCTTAATAAAAGAATACAATATGTGGAAATCGGTGACTTACGAAGCACCTCAAAGGTAATTAAATTTGAAGTTCCGCAAGGTACTGTATTGCGACCTATACTTTTTACAGCATATATAAACGGTCTATTACAAATAAACTCAATTGGAAGCATTTCCTCTTTGGCTGATGATACAGTTAGACTGCATACAGCTAATACCTGGAAAGAACTAAGAGTTAATTTAGAAAATGATATAAAAAAAATTAAACTTTGGTTCGATGAAATGTCCCTAACAATTAATACAGATAAAACAAAATGTATAGCTTTCTCCTGTTGAAATAATAACAGACGCCAATATAGTTCTTTACATATAGGACCAAATCTTCAAATAGCAGAGGTAAAAACAATTAAATATTTGGGCATTGAAATTGATAATAACTTAAACTGGAAAACTCATGTCAAACAACTATTAAAAAAATTACGATATATTTTATTTAAATTTAAAAAATTAGCAGGTATTCTCAACTATAAAAATTTCAAAACGATTTACTATTCCTTAGTTGAATCGCTTATTCAATATGGAATAACGGCATGGGGAGGAATATATAAAACAAACCTAAAAAGGCTAGTAATTATTCAAAAAATCTTCCTTAAAATAATGAGTAATAAAAACGAACTTACCCAACTGAGTCCTTATTTCAAGAGACAGGTATTTTTGACATTCGACAATTGCAATGCTACAGAATGCTCATCTTACAACAAAAAAATAAAAACTCCTTACAAATGATAAAACATTCATATAATACACGATATAGCGACAATGAAAGCGTATAAAAAACTAGGACAACGGTCTTTTAGTTATATATCACCTCGACTATACATGTTATTACCTGATAATATAAGACAAATTAAGAAAACACCTTTTTAAAAATAATGTGAAGAAATTTATGAGTACACTGCCCAAACCAGAAATTATAAAAATAATTGAAAATTAAAAAATATATATCAAGAAAATTATTAAATTACCTTATTTTATGTCTTACTCATCTTCTTAACTAGCACTGGGATATTTATAAAAAAAAAATAATAAAAAAAAATTAAAAAGCTATGTAAAAAAAGATATTAAATACCATGTTAAAAAAATGGTTAAATTAAAAAAAAAATAAAACAAATATGTAAAAAAAATTGTTAAAAAAAAATAAAAAAAAGATTGTTAAAAAAAAATAAAACAAAATTGTTAAAAAAAATAAAAAAAATTTTTTTTTTAAAAAAATTGTTAAAAAAAATGTTAAAATGTTAAAAAGAAAACTACCTACTCACTAAACAAACAGAGATTACGTATATTACCTTCCATATATACTTTTTTCTGTTTTCTCTGTTAATTTAAGTTATCTATCTAGAATTTTTGTTTTGTTTTGAATTAGGGCTTAAGAATAAAATATTAAAAATGTTAAAAATAATTCCTTAAAGTAAACGCAAGAGTCACGCACAAATCTCTCCTTGAGATTGCTCAGTTTATTTTCCGCAACTATTCAAATTTACTATTGTAAATCTGTTCTTATATTTATATTATTTTGTCGAAAGTAAATTAATATTAAAAAAATATATTTAAAATTATATATAGTATTTTTATTCAAAATTTTATACTAATCGCTTAATAAATAAAGGAGCCATTAAGGTATAATTTGGGAACGCGAGACCGATGCAAGCGACAGCGAAAGGCAGCAAGGCAGCAAACACTGCCATGTTAAAAGTGCTGTCGTGTCTCTTGCATCGTTCGCGCTGTCCCAAATGTGCTTTATTTGCATGTGCTTCAGACGTAAGAGACACAAATGCTACCTGGCCCTATTCTTATTGGCACCGATATAGTGGGTGTTTTTTTTTTTGTTTTTCAAATCATAGCTCTTATCAACTCTATGTAATAATTAAATTATTTTCTAATAAAATCCTTTTTTTTTTGTTTCAGACATCAGTGAGTTCAATAGGCTCATCAGGAACAAGGCAGTACAGACGGTCTCCTAGTTCGATACTGTCTTCAGATTCAGACATAAGATTCACTAGAAAAAAATTAACATCTCAATACAAGTGTGGATGTTGCATTATAGCCATATTTCTTCTGTTTCTTCTTTTAGCAGCCGTAGGAGTATATGTAGGATGTAAGTATGAGTATATTATACCTTCTTTGTTTATCTAGCAATTAGGAGCCATTTAATAACTAATTCATCTACAAATAAGGGGCGTTTCAAAAGCATTGTCAATAAAATGTCTTAATTGGTAGAGTATTTTTATAGCATTTTTTATTTTACAAACATTCTTCATTATGGTAATATCATGTGTTTAGGTAAAAAAATTCTGAAAATTCGGTTACATTTTTTTAATTTTTTCAATATAGTATAATAAAATGACTACACTTACCTGTAAAAATCTATACATCCCTTACCGTTGAAGTGGCAGTGAAGGAACAATTCAGGTAATTAATAATTTATTGAACATATACAGAATTACCAACATATTCCTTTTTTAAAATGTTGTTTTTAATATTTCTTAATTAAAAGTTATTAACGAAAGTTTGGGTAATATTACTCAGGCTGCACAAGCCTGACTGCTAAATATTTGCGTACTGAGGAAAACTATCAGACGAAAACGCTACGAGATTCAAGCTGCACCGCCTATTAATCTTCAAAAATCCCGAAAACAAAAAAAAATTGATATTCGCACCACAAATTTATCAGCAAATTATTGCACACACTTAATAGCATTCTATTAAATAACAAAACACTCAAAATACGGCGAAACGGTCGCCGGCGAAACGGCCGCCTGCGAACTGGCTCGGTGGCGAAACGGCGACGGCGAAACGGCGCCGGCGGAACGTCCTAGACCCATATTTAAGAACGGCAAAGAAAGGATGCTAAATTTCTGAAGAAAAATAAATGGAGGAGAGTCTCCATCTGTTTTAATAGTACCTCAATGGACTGCATAAAGTAGTGCGTAGCTTTTTTTATCCACTCCTTGTAGTTGGACGTAATGGAGGGGGGGATGAACAAGTTGTACTATCTTCCGGCGGTGGGAGGGGTTATGTAACCTGTAAAATTCAAAGTAAAGTTGGGCATCGAATTATTTAACTTTTTTCTCTCAATGAAATAATATTTTTCCGGACGTCGCGTGTCAAGAACATTAAAAAATATATATTTTCTGTCGTCTCGCTTTGCTACTTCCGATGTAGGGATTCCGTATATTAATTTTTTTTTAAACAATTTGGGCTATATGCGGTTTTTGGTGAAACTAGAAAGATAATTAAAGATACTCGTTTGATGGTCGCTGCCAAGACATGCTGCAGCTGCAGGCAGCCGAGGCAAGAGGTAAGCAACCTAGACAACGACAGACGACACCTAGAGGGCTTGCTATCAAGCGGCAGATCGGTGCTTTTTTGCAGTTAAGAAAGGTATTTATTGTGTGGCCTGCCTCAAGGAACTCATTCGATGGTCGCTGCAGAGACATGCTGTAGTTGTAAGCGGCAAAAACAAGAAAGAGGTAGAGACACTACCGTTTTAATGAAAGTAGATGAGATACTGTTCAATGCAGGAGCAGTGCAGATGAAGCACAGGAGTAGCGCAGGCGACAGCAGCAACTAGCTTTGAGATACTTATTAGATGGTCGCTGTAGACACATGCGACAGCTGCAGGCGACAGAGACAAGAAAGTGGCAGAGACGTTATCATTTTAAGTAAAGTAAATGAGATGCTGTTTAACGCAGGATCAGCGAGGAGACAACAGCAGCAAGCTTAATAAATATCTTGCCCTACTTCGGTTGCTTGGATGCGCATTTGTGGCGGCAGTTATGGATGTGAAGCTAGTTCCTGCTATTGCCTGCACAGCTACTGCTTTGAACTGTATCTTATTTACTTTAGTGTCTGTCTCTTTCTTGTTTTTGCCGCTGGCAGCTGCAATATGTCTCTGTAGCGACCATCGAACGAGTACCTTTACATAGACGATGCCACCACGCCACAGACTACCGCAATACTAGTGCTGACGGAGACGCGCTCCCAAGCGACCGAGACAGGGCAAAATATTTATTAAGCTAGTTGCTGCTGTCTCCTGCGCTGCCCCTGCATTGGAAGGCATCTCATTTACTTTACATAAAACGGTAGTGTTTCTGCCTCTTTATTGTCTCTGTCGCTTGAAGCTGCAGCATGTCTTTGAACGATCATCGAACGAGTATCTTTAATTTCATTGGAACGGTAGTGTCTCAGCATCTTGTGTCGGCCGCTTGCAGCTACAGCATCTCTCTGCAGCGACCATCGAACGATTACCTTTATTGTGTTTAAAACCTGGTCCATAGTAATGAAGAACGTAGCAAGGAATGCAGTATACAACTATTTCTCCCCCTTATATCTTTTTTCTACACAAAAAAAATAACATTAAAATTGTATATTAATATCCTGAACGCTCTACTATTGGTTTTCGAATGCGTATAGATCGCCTTAATTCGGTATTCTCATTATAATCTAGTTTGACTGCATCGAATGTAGGGTTTTCTCTAGCTTTCTCTATTGGATGTGTCTTCATTTTGGATAGGACATTTTATTTGTGATGGATTAACTGTTTCACTAATTGAACTATGATTATGTCGTAGAGTGATGTCATTCGTTTTTCTTGTTAAAGTATTGTTCTCTTGATTTGCAGTAGCACCGATAGTTTCATTTTAAGTTCCAGGAATAGCTTCAACTATAGAGCTATATAAATTTCATTTTTGGCAGAGTTGTATTTAAGCGTAGTGACATTTAACTTTGTGTAATTGTGTAATTTTCGTAAATGTTCTACAATGGTTCTCTATTTCCGTTAAAAAGAATTTGAGTAACTTCTCAACTGGACCCTGTCTTCTAGATTATACCATTTGTCAAACTCGGGTTGTTAACTTACGCTTTTCTAGTCTGTTTATGGTCGAATGCAATCAAATTTCGTTCGTAAGTTTTCTGAAGATAATCATGTCACTCGGTATCTAAATATAAATGTGAGTACATAATACCTCCTGCAGATCTTCTGGTTCATTCATTATACATTTAAGTTTAATTTTTAACGTTTGCAGTATAGTTCAGGTTGTGCGTTTGTAGCAGAATGGCTTGGTGCAATAAATTGTTGTTTAATGCAATTTCGTTGATAGAACTCTATAAATGTTTTTGATTTAAAAAGTGAAGAATTGTCACTTACTAAAATTTCTGAAAAACCCTTTCAAAAAAGTTTCCCTTAGAAAGTAAATTATTTTAGATGTAGTTGGACTGTACTTCATCAACATTATTTCTTGCCATTTTGACTTGGCGTTAACAAGGAGAAGATGAAATGGGCCAAGTACATTAAGTACTTTTTGCTCATTTCATTCTGGTACCTCTCAAAGGTGTAGTGGAGCTTTAGTTGGATTTCCTGGTCAATAGTAAATATAACGTAGAACGTAGCAACGTAGCAAGGAATATAGTTTAGAACATTATTACGAGAATATTTTAGTGTCGGTGAAAGGGTTAATATTTTTACAATCTGGAAAAAAATTTACTTGCTTTTCTAAAATAGGTGTAAAATAGTTATAATTGCTTTTAAAATATTTGTACAACTCTCAACTAAGTAGTTTTATCCCATTTAGCCTTTTATTCCCTCTGTGTTTTCGTGAAAAATTTATGGCAAATGGGGTAAAACTACTAAATAAAAAATGTCCACGAGGGCGTTAATCTTAGTTAAGAGTCATACAAATATGTTTACAGTTCATCAAATTTCTAGAGGCTTTCGACGGCTAGACAGAGAAAGCACTACTGAGAGGCATCGGTTGGCGGGGCCGACGGATTTACGCAATGAAAGTACACTCTGCGCATCAAGTATTTCACTATTTTATTCAGACGTAAATGTCAGATGTAAATTTCGCTAAAACATTTCTTTTATTTTCGTTTGTGTTTTTTGCTCATTACAGTTTAATAGAACCTAAGTATGGAGTTTAATAGCAAATTAAGAGGCCGCGTGATTAACAGTCAATCTCGCGAAATAATAGCCAATGTTATAGAGTTTATGAGAAGAGAAGGAAACTTTAATTCACCTTCAATACCATTTAAAAATGTAAATGATCGTGTTGCTGCAGCCACAGGAGTATCTAAAAACATTGTCGTCCGCATTTCTAGAGAGAAAAAAAGAATCGATAACCGTGAGATATCGGAATTTTCATCACCAAGAAAAACCATTAAAAAACCAAAAACAGTTAATGATATAGATGAAGCTGACAAAGGTATTTTAAAAAGAATAATTCTGTTCATGTTATTCTCGGAAAATATTGTTCCAACATTAAAAACAATTCTCTCTAAATTTAGAGAAGCTACAGGGTACAAAGGAAGCTATGAAAGTTTAAGAAAAATAATAAAGTCGCTAGGATTTCGTTGGCGGAAAACAAAAACAAACAGAAACATATTAATGGAAAGGTTTGATATTCAAAAGCTACTTTTAGACTATCTGATTCGTTTAAAAAGTTATCGAGCAGAGGGCCGTCCAATTGTCTACTTAGATGAAACATACATTCATGCCTCCCACACACACCAGAAAGCTTGGAGTGATAATTCAAATGAGGGATTAAAGAAACCAATTAATAAAGGTGATAGACTAATTATTGTCCATGCAGGAGGTGAAATGGGCTTTATTCCGAATGCCCGGTTAATTTTCAAATCTGGAACCAAAAGTGGAGACTACCACGATGAAATGAATTTTAATAATTTTTCTAAATGGTTGAAAGAAAAGCTGTTTCCGAACCTCCCTCCAAGAAGCGTCATTATTGTTGATAATGCTCCTTACCATAATGTCCAGGTAAATAAAGCACCAACGTCAACTTCTAAAAAAGCTGACATGCAGGATTGGTTAAGTAATCATAATATTGCTTACGAAGAGGATATACTCAAAACGCAATTATACAGTTTAGTGCTATTGCATAAGTCACGATTTAAGAGGTATGCAATTGACGAAATGATAAATGAACATGGTTTTAGTTGTTTGCGTTTGCCACCGTATCATCCCGATCTTAATCCGATCGAATTAGTGTGGGCATCATTGAAACAATATGTAGCTAGTAACAACACTACATTTAAGAGGCAAGACGTACAACTGTTGTGTGAAGACTTTTTTGATACGTTTTC